AGCCGGGTCGGGGATTAGAGCGATCGGAGTCTCGGACGATTGGCGTATCGCTACAACTACAGTTCGTGTAAAAACGCACAATTATTCTGACAAATTACATCTCGCTATAAATCATTTTACTCGTATCTGTTAATTAGATACGCTCTTTTTTCGTACATCTTTACTCAATTGGCTTAGCGGAGCATTTTTTTTTTTTCGAATAGAAATGTTGTAGTAAAGCTTGTCTAACGGTGTTTGGGTTATTTATATATATTTGTAACATTATTTTCAAACTTAACTCTAGCCACGTTATTTACATTTTCAACTTAATCTTTCAATTGTTTAAATTTCTTTTAATTTTTATACCGCCGGCGCGACATCTCTTCGACAATAATCCGTAGCAGCGAATAGCTCGTGATCGCTCGTTCATTTTTCCGCGTTGTGAGACGCGGCCGGGTTGTTCTAATCGATTTCTCGGTAACTCTGCGATCCACGCGGCTGCGCACGTTGATGACGATCATGTACAACGCGCCGGCAGGATAAGATGGTTTTCGAATCAGACCTCGGCTTGAAGTTCTGCCCCGGTTTGCGGCTTAACAATTACGATGATGCCAGCAACCTACATTAGACGGATATAACGAACAGTTGCCGTGTTCGCGGCGACGTTTGTTTCAACGATATAACACGAGAAATAGAATTATCTTATGTATTAACATTCGCGCAATTTTGTTCGGACGGTTTCTCGTACAGAACAAAAATCCAAACAGAAAAGACATCATTAGGACGTTCGTTAGATGTGTCGCACGGAGATGTGAACATCTAATGAGGATTTTGTTCCGTGCGTATTTATTATTAAAACCATACGTTTATTAAAGTTACGGCTATGTTCGCGAAGCGGTTACTTACTCTGTAAGTATCCCATTCCGAGTGCGGGTTATAAATCCGCTGGCTGGTTATTTACTTTTTTTTTTTCACATGGCGCGTGCTCGTACACTGCGTCTTTGGGAACACGAACATGTAACATGCGTAATGTAACATGAAGCGAATAACTCGCGCACCTGCTTCTTGTTATCGTTACGATCTTTATCGGTTCCGACTACTTCCTACTCTACACGCGCGAAAGATACTTTCCTATCCGCTCGATGACGTAAATATTGAAGAGAATCGAACATCGAGTATTCACAAATCTTTAGTTAAAAATTATATTATTAAAAAAATAAAGAAAGAGAGAGAGAGAGAGAGGAAGATTAGATTATAGAAATCTTCATTTATATTGCGTTCTGGAAAAATCCCCTCAAAATAATGCAAAACAATTGCAAAATAAAAATATAAGTAAAGAAAAATAAAGAATAAGTGGGTATAAATTAAAAAAAAAAGAGAGAAATGTATGTAACCATTTTTTGTGCTGACTTATCTTTATCAGACTGTAACACTTCTCACCCGTATGCATTTTCAAATTAACTCATAACTGTATATCTTACTCTTTAATATTCTAAGTGGCAGTATATGAAAAGACCGGCTCGATGGTTTCGCGGTCTGAGTGCAGAGGCTGCTGCGAGCATGTAGGTTTCCGAGTACCGAATCCGTTCAACACCTAAGATTTTTTCCGAACCGGTATCTTTCGAATTGAGTTGTGATGTTAATTGATTCAGCGAACTGAATCGGGTCTCCAATAAGCATTACTACTTGCGCTTACTTATTTCTCTGCATCTCTTCTAATGTAAAATTGTTTCTTTATTTCCGCAGCTTTATTTCGACAACTAAGCGGTCGATAATTCTAAACTTTTTTTATAGTATTCTTATAACGTTGTGTGAAAAAGAAAAGAAAAAAACTATAAAACCAACATGGCGCGAACGCGCAACTTCCGAACTCCTAGCACCCTTTTAGCAATATAATACGCAAAATTAATGACACATGCGTATACGTGTACGTAAAGTGAATTTTTTCAAGCATTACTTTCGTTGTTACGCGGCACAGCTAAGGATTGTCGCACAATCGATATCTCTTTGCGAGAGATTTTTTAATCTACTTTTGTTTCTTCTTTACAACGCACTCTCTGATTTCACGGAAAAACGTGAAATAACGCGCGCTATAGAAAAGAAAAAACGCGACTATTCGACGCCAACAGGTCGATTATTTGCAGCAAACTAATGTTCAATGAAATTAACGGGGCTCGCTTGCAGCCAATGTGCGCCGTCTTGCGCTTCCTTTTGCCATTCTTGGCGCACGTGTCCGACCAGCCGCGGATTTTTCTTGCCGGCACGTTGCGCACAACCATGTTAAATATGTTAATTTGAACAGTGTGCGAACCGTTACGCAGTAACGCTTACGAGAGACGTCAATTCTACGCGCGGAGAACAGCGCGTTGTTTATTCAAAACAAAATCACATTTCTTGAGAATCTGCATTTTTATCGCGCCAATTTAGGCAAGTTATGCGCGCGACGAAGACCGACCGCGCGTTCAGATCAAGAGATCAAATCGAGAGAAGATGTAGAACTCGGCCTCGCGATCACACAACGTGAGTGCGAGTTCGATAAAGCGTCGAATTTAGTGGGGAAAAAAAACCCAATCTTCACCCTGATCTCACCGTTATTACATCGACTGTGCGAACCGAGCGTAATTCTTTCGCGCAAACGCTTTGCAAGGCGTTCAGTCTTTTACAAAACGTTTTGACTGTTTCACGTAATAAAACGTCTTCTGATGTAACGTTTTGTCTGGAGTTGCACGCAGTTCTTTTTTTTTTTTTTTTTGTATCTCAAAGTCAACGACCCTCACGTGCTCGCGCCGCCGCCGCCGGTCGTAACTTCCGCTTTCGCGATGTGAGCAGTTTCTTTTTACTTAATTTCGATGCATTCGATGCGTCCGTCTTTGGCCGCGGCTAGACAATACTATTACCGATGCGTGTCGAGATGCGAAGGCGATTTCGCTAATGCGCAACACGCGTCTTCGTCTGTTATATTATTTGAGAAACGTTCGCGAGACTTGCGTCTCGCACGCGATTCTCGCACGGGTCTTACGCAACGTCTACAAAGCGCATTTTGGACTTCGCATCGTTGAGAACCGATGCGTGTGTTTGTTAAAAAAAAAAAAAAAAAGTTATTTTAGTAAAAGTCCGAACACGATTGGTTGTTTTTTAATTTTATATTATGAACAAATTTTGCAAACATTTATCTCGACCCCGAAGGTTGGAAATAAAGACCGCATCTGAAAACGTTTTCAAAATCTGTTTGAATGATAAAAAATTTTATATTGCGTATTTCTGCGAGTTTCAAGAGCAACGTTGAGATGAAGAGAAACAGGAACTTTGTTGAGAGTACAAACGATTATCTTTGAAAGACAATTATGATCAATATATAATTACACGCACACACAATCTCGATCTTGTCGCGTGCTTCGCGTACACTTCACCGAGAGTGTACTTCGCGACGCGCACTTGTGCGCTAAATTCTTGCCAATAAGAGGACAAGAGCCGGCAAAGGAATACGGAACGCGGTTGTTACACAAGATGACAAAGTGAAATTCGTCAAGTCGTTCAAGTTAACTTCCTCTACGAGCACCATATTTCGGATTGGCACATACCGACCAGGCGGGAACGTGCGCGCGCATAACCGATGACTTCCTAGACGATTGCGCGACCGACGCAGGATGTGAAGCCTTGCGTTATCGCTTTGATTACACGAACCTGAGCGGCAGTCGTCGGTTGTGTTCTGAAGTAAATTCTACTATCTCTCTTTCTCTCTCACACACGTGCAACAAAATATTGTGTAATTAATGGATTTACATTATTCTAAAATAAAAAATATGATTTTAGAATGTATTGAGAAAAGATCTTTTTTTTTAAAATAACTTAATATAAACTAAAAGTTTTACAAGAGAGAGAAGTGAAAGAGAGAGATCATTTTTATTAATATTTTTCTTACATACTCGATTTCAGCAAAGTCGTTTAAAAATCGCGGAAAAAATCATTTATACAAGCGTTGGCTTATCCGCGATGTCATAAAGTAAACTTTTCTGTCATTTTGCAACGTTGTCGCAATCGCACCGGCAGCGGATGTGTACTCAAGACCGGACCCCGGGTTTTTTCATCTGTCGTAGGTACGGAAACGCGAGTAGCGGTATAAAAAAAAAAAAAGCACTTACGCGAGTAAACGATTGGTTTCCTGCGCTCGCTTTCTTTCTGCGTTGCACGGAACATACGGAATTACATAAGTAAAAGACGATGTTTCGCGATCGGGAAAGAAGGATAACGCGCGAAGCGCGCCGCAAACGTCGCGTCCGGTGATCCGAGCTCTTTTTGCACGGAGGGAAGGTGACGAAGCTCTCGCCGCTCGTTGAAATCATCAGCTTGAAAACGGCAATCCGGCGATGAGGCAACGTCCCGCCTTGCCGCATCGTCGATGCGCGCCCGGGTGCGTGATGCGCCCGGTTGCGTGTCTTCCGATATGAGGAGATTGAAAAGCGCACGCTCGCGACGGCTCGCCAGAAGACGCGCGTTGCGCTATTCGCGCAATTAGTCATGAGAGATTGAATCGCGCAGATAGCCGAGAACGAGTATACCCGTCCATTGTGAGAAGCTAACAGCTCTTGCGAGAATTCGCGAGCGGCTATTTCAGGTGATTTTTCTACCACCCGAGGTAGAACGCGCGTGAAACACATCGCGAAGAATCGCACGCGATTGTCGAGCATACGAAAATGGGATTAAAACGTTCTTTCGTATTTTTTTTTTTTTTTTATTTTTATCACAACCCAGTAAACTCTGAAGAATCACCCGTTAAACGTGTACTTCCGACAAAAAAACATAATAGACAATGAGTCGTCGTTAAAAGAGGGTAAACAAAGAATCCGTAGATCCGCGTTGATTAGCAAGTTCCGAATAACTGTTGTCCGTGTGCGCACGTGCGGAAAGTAAAAGTAAAGCTTTGCAATGTTTTGTTTAGGAAATTGATCTTTATGTATTTAGAGCATGTATTTTTCTTACTATTTTAATATTAATAAACTTACGCTAATAATTTATTGTAGGATCTAATGGCGCCGGATGCGGTTATCCAGGCGCACCGGCGCACAGCAGCGTGCGTTTCACCGGTGCTGATCCCAACGACGTCATAGATGAGGAGGATGCCCTTCTTAAGGACACCACGTTGCCGGAAGGCACCGTGGCCACGTATTCCTGCGAACGAGGATTCGAGCTGCTGGGGCCAGCAAGAAGAGAATGCCAGGCTGACGGCACGTGGGAGCCGGAAGGCGTGCCTTTCTGCGGTAAGCAACATCTTCATTTTAATCGCGCGCAATTCAACTGCGTTGATTTTTTCCAAATTCTTTCTAAGAAGATAACGAGTTTAAATTGAATTTTATTTGAAAATCTGTAAATCAGCGATAAACAACTTGGCAAGTTCTCTCCCTTCCTCTCAAATATTCTCTGATCTAAATATTCTATTTATATCGTCCGACTGTTTTTTTTTTTTTTTTACGCGAATAATTACGTCAGCTGACGGGAAAATCGACGACATTTTTTGCGATATTTTGGGGAGGCAAGTGACCCGATTTCACGTGTCCTTGACCGAGCAAACTTGGCGACGGAGGAGATGCCGCGGCGGTGCGCGCGAGCTAGTGGGGGCAGTGCACCGTTAACTCTGAACCTGTTGCCACTTAAAGAGCGCCCGCGGCCTTCGCACATTCCTCTCGTGACGCAGGTTCATCGGATTCGTTTGGTTATCCTTGGGCCAAGTCGTTCGAAAAATTGCTCTTCCGACAACAACTCTCTTCCAAGAAACCTGTCTCTTGGCGCGTCTGTACGCGCCAAAATGTTTCCGTGTCGCGCCGCCATTAGCGTTATCTCTCGCGCGCGTTGTCTCGTAAAGAACGTACGTTTTTGTATTCTATCTTCTGCCAACGTAGAAAGGTAGAAACACCGATGAGTCGAAATGAAATGTTTCTTCTATTCGGGACGGAAGAGGTTACGCGCGGTGAAATCTTGAGTTGAGTTCAAGATGGCTGCTACGTTCATTATCCGCTCGTTTATACTTGACGATCAAAATATATCTTGTATATGTGTTTTCATATACGACCGCTTATGCTAATCCGCCGATTAGCTTCTCGCTCGGCGAGAAATGTCCGATCGATAATAATAAACGTCTCCGCATATATATTCCATAGGCAAAATGTTTGTCGCGCGGAATGCGCGTTTTCTAGCCTTGCGGTCTGAATGAGGTGACCGGTATTCTCCCGCTCCTGTTTCTCAAGTAAACGCGCTGACCGCAAGTATTCGAGATCAAGCGTTCGGATCGAATTTATATTTAAATTTTCACGGTTGTCAAGAGACGCGCTTAGTCAAAAGAAAATTACACGCTCGCGCGCGAATTTTCTTCTGCACGCGCGAGTCTCTTCTTTGAAATATGCAACATAGTGTTCAAAGAATTTCTTTTTATTTTAGTTTTTTTCTTAATCAAATTCTCTTTAAAAAAAAAAAAAAAAAAAAAAAACACGCTTTCGATTTTCGCCAACTTAGTTTGGTAACTTTTAATCGCACGGAAACGCGGAATCGGTAACGAGGTGAGGCGAGGTAACAGAGCAAATTGCGAACCGACCCCATTTCTATTTCGTCGGAGAGCCGTGCAATTAGCTTGACGATTGAATGAGATGCGCTCGCTTCCGGAAACGAGCGAGCGAGCGAGCGCGCGCAGCGTCTTTTCATTCTTTCTTGCGCACGTGCGAAGTGTATCGAAGTGAAAGAGCTCTTCGCGGAGAATCGCTTCGCGACGAGATCTCACGGCTACGCTTCGCGAGCTCGACGACAGGCCGAACTTGGTCCAGGATCGCGAGAAGTGGTGCCGTGACGCATAAGGTGGAAGTAGGTCGCGGCGCGCGGATTGTACGCGACTGTCTATCTCTTGTAAAAGAGAGTTTGCGCGCACACGAGCACGCACACACACACACACACGCGCGCGCACACATTCATATGCATCCGGAAAGCGCATATTCCGCTCAATTTCATTGATCGCTTCTGCCGAGCGTGATAACGCGAAAACGATTTTCGATTTCCGATAAAAGAGAAAAAAACAAGATCTCGCGCATTCCTGCGGTAATCTTCGTGCCTATTTCCCGAGGGAAGCGAACAAGAGCAAGTATCGTAGCGGATTAACGACCTTTTTTCACGTCGGAAAGATATTGTCGCGCGAAGATATGCGATATATTTCGACTATATCGCGGTGTATTTGTGCGCGAGATCGCACAATCGCCCACCCAAGACAAGTCGCAACAGTTTCTCGTGCGATCCGCCGACCGCAAGAATAGGGTTGCCACTTGCGCAGCTGTGCGTAAACTTGACTTTTCGAACGCGTATTTCTCGGTTGCATTCCGCAACAGATGCGCGCGCATACAATGATTTGGAAGGATAATTTTACTGCGAGAGAAAATTATAGAAAAAAAAAAAAACACAATATACAGGTATAATCTCTGTAATAGAAGTCTGTACACTGTGGGATATATTGCGCGTGATTATGATTATCGCGAGTTGGAAGGCACGTGTCTCGCGTGTCTCTCTCTTTCTCCCTTGTTACACGGTATCAATGGAAACGATACAACAAGAAAAACCATCCGCATCTCTGCGTGTATAAGAAATAACTGTAAATTACGAGGTAGACATCGCGCTCGCGTATATACGTGCATATATACATATACACACGTCTCGTGGGAAACGTGCGCGGCATATACGCGCGCTTTCATGGGGGGCGCTAGCCAGTATGTAGGTTTAGGTCGAGAATGCATCGATTATCGTTTTATGTGTCGTACCCCACGCCTACCCGATAGAATCTCGATTGCTTCATTAAAATTATCGCGCATGTCACAGACGCGTGTACGCGTGTACATCATGCGTTTGCCAAAGAATGCGCGTGCGTGTGTGTTTGCGTTCTTCATATAGCTTTGTAAGTTATGTACATGCCGTACGCGACGTTTAATAGAAAATTTTACGATAAGAAGAAATTGTTGCAAAAAATACTTGCAACATATTGCTGAGATAAACGTTCCAATGACCGGACAGTGCCAGTGGCCGGAACATTCACTAAAGAATTGAGTATTAGATATGCAAATAGTAACCCTTCGTAGACTGACATGGATCTCCCAGACCCGATCAAAATCTTTCAAACCAGTGTCTCTGGTAAAATTATTATTTTTTTAACGCTTATATCTTCGAAACTACGAGAGTTTTTAATTTGTTTTTTTTCTTTTAGATCGACGCAGAATTTCGTTCAAACTTTTGAACTTTAAAAAAAATTTTAAAAACATTTGATTTTCCGCGGAGATGTTCGATTTTCAAGTCACGTGGATCTCACAGATCCAGTCAGTCCACAAAGGGTTAATCGTTAACACTTGTCAATGTTTTAGATATTTTTTAAGATACATTTTTAATAACTTTTTAATTAATTCAATTTAATTTTCAAGTAAATTATATTCCAAATTAATTGTAGTTTCTAATTTTTCATATGTAAATAATTTTGTTACAATTACTTTTTTAACAAATTTCCATCGGTACTTGTCCGATAATTGAAACATTTACTTTGTATCTTGCACCGGCCATCTCAAAACTTCTTGCGCAATTTGACGTTTTCTCTCCTCTCAACGGGACGGCAAAGTTAGCTTCCGCACGAAGAATACAATTAAACCGGAGATTACCGACCTTACCGAATAAACCTGACCGCTATTTCCCAACGTGTTTTATCGGAATATCTTGGAGATGCGCTCGGCGAACGCGCACACGAGCGAACTTTTGATCCTTTGTTTGCGCACCCATGGGCTTCTGCATGCGATGCGCTCGTCTTGTCTGTGCATCTATCGCGATTGTTGCGCGCGAGATTACGCGAGATACTTCGGGGCCGTGGTAACAGATTGCATGCGGACTCTGGCGTCTCGGTGTATCTCAAAATGGCGCTGCGAAATCCTCACGTCGAACAATTTACGGTATACCAAAATAGGTGTTGCATACGTATAAGAAAGTTCACTAACACGGAGTGACACTGTAAACGGTAAACGCGCGCTTTAAACGCGCAGGGATATACCTGATGAGCTATTTTACGTCGATCTCGCGAGACTGTCGGAAGAAGAGATCGCGAAACTATATTGTAAATATTGTAAGCAAACTGGATTTCAAATGTCTAGCGGAGAATTTGTCGTTCGTTTTCTTGTCAGATCAAAGCTAAACAAATTCAATTCGCGGTTATCGATGTTGAACGTGCCGATCAATCTTCGCGCGCCATTTACCTGGATTACTTATGAATTCTGTTCTCGTAGAAGTTCTGACGCGATAAAATTGTCAAGCTGTTTCAACCTAGTTTGCACACTCAATACAAATCAATCTTAGATAAAAATATAATCTATGTCACACATTAATTCATATAGCTTTAATTGATATATTAATATTATAAATATTTATATTATATAA